GCTCTAAATATTCAATTCAACACATGAGAATTCATTATGCAAATTTAACAACTATACCCTTCTTGTCTACTGGTAATTTTCATGACAAAAGTTTGTATTCAAACAGTTGCTTACTAAGTGTGAAATGTATTTTAAAATGAATTAAATTGAAATGCTTTCTTTCTGGAAATTTGCAAGATTACTCATTGTCAAAGACATCTTTTAGAGATTTAGGTATCCTTGGGGATATGAGAATATACCCATAAAACTTATCAGATTTCTTTCTTTTCTCCTTATCCCATAGTTGGGATTTTTGATTTTGGAGTATACTTGATTAGTTATTATTTTCTCCCATCATATCTCAAATCAACTGTTGTAAAATTCTAAAACTTAACAAATTTAGAAAATTTGAAATGTTTACATTTAACAGTGATTTCACAATGTATTCTACCATAATCAAGATTATAAACCCTATACTCTTTTTAATTGATTAAATTCTAAATAATTTTTAAATAAAATTATGATAACTCTGTCTTGAGGATACCAAACTTACATATTTCTGCTTATAAATTCAGACTACATAGTTTAGAATTTGCCCTTTAGCAAACTTCAGCTAAGGATCAATGACTGTCTTACAGAATATACAATATGGAGAAAGATAATCAGATTAATAAATATTATAATAAATAAGACTACATATGCTCTGAATATATGTGCAAAAAAAGAGATTTTTAGGAATCATAAAAGAGGAAAGACTTTCTTTGACGGTGATGAGGGAGAAGGATTTATGTTGGGAGGAGTTCATAATTTGTCTGGTATGAATTCTCAACAAAAGGTTTTAAGTTTTGGCCCTGACCAGTGTGGCTCAATGGAATGAGCACTGGCCTGTGAAACAAAAGATTGCTGGTTCAATTCCTGGTCAGGTTGGGGGCGTGCAAGAGACAACCAATTGATAAATTAATGTTTTTCTCTCTTTCTCTTTCGCTTCCCCTCTCTCTAAAAATAAATAAATAAAATCTTAAAAAATAGATGTCAAGTTTTGAATGAATTAACAGTTGAAACTATCACAAGACCAGTAATAACGGTAATATCACCTCACACTCTTATGACTGTTTCTGGTCTAGACATTATACTGTTATTTCTATGTAGATATACTTTAAGAACAACAACAAAGATATTTTAAGGGTTATAAATATTTTGTTATCTATAATTGTTAAATCACCTTATTTATTTCAGGCATTTTCAATTATTTCATTAAAAACAAATATAAAGATAGCAATAGTGTCACACTGGCAAAGCAAGTATGCTGACGGCAAACAAAAACAGGCATTTAAGAAGAACATATTTACCAAGAAGTTATAAGGGTAAAATTAAACTTTTCTAATGGATTTTTTTAATCAATATAGAGGGAGAAATATGATCAACTGATGAGTTACAAAGTACGTTAAAAAGTAAGTTATTCAAGAGAATATCAATAATTCCTAAAAATTAACATGAGAAAGAAAAAAATTTAAAGATGAATATCAAGAAACACTATGATGTGATGAACACCATCCTCGAAAACATCATGACATAACACAGCAAATCGGAGGGACCCAACACAACACAATTCAATAAAATCTATTATATCATGGGATTAATTGAATGTGTTCCATGTAAACAGCTCTCTGATCAACTAGTTTAATCCAGGGGAATATTATAGTTTATACTGACAATGAATATGCAAGATTTCTTATCCTTCAGGAAATCTTTCACAATGCTTTCTAGTTGAGCTTTTGATTTATATTGGGTAATTCTGAGTTCAGTAATATATGAGTTTATACTAAACTCATTACTAAATATGAGTTCAGTAAGTGCTTTGAAAAGCACTTGCAGTGTTACTATGCTTTGCTGTTGTTTCTATGCAGAGCTGTTTGCTTTAATAAATAGTCAGTATGATAGTATGCTTGCATTCAAAGAAACCATTGACAATCTAGTAAGGTTAGAAGACAATCAAAATAGAACTTTTGGCTCACTGCTTACTAACTAGAAGATTTTCTTTTGATTTTTATTTGGACAAAAGAGAGATAGAAAGGGAAAAGTTAGAGGGGAATGAATCCTTAGGGTACTGGCAAGAGTAGTTATTTAGGCAAACTAACAAAATGCACCAAGCCAATATACCAAATTCACCAGTTGTGGTTCTTTTCTTATTCACATGGAAAAGTATCTAAATGTCATAATGTGTCTTGAAAAGTCTGTGCACTTCTGCTTTGACTATAGCTTTAGCTATATTAAACTAAATGCAACTTGTTGTAGATCTTGATTAAATCAAATACTATCTTATCTTAAATTCTCCAACAGATAAGTAGCAGTTACATTAATTATTTATTAATAGAAAAAACATTTATTAAGAGAATTCCTCTGTGTATGTGGGTGTGTTTGGAAATGTTTGCTGTCACCAGGGGAAATATTGAAGAAAAACAGAAAACTGAGCATGTTTCTCAGGACTCTAAGAAAGGTTAACCAAAAGCTCCCCATGGACCATGTGGAATCATTAAATTAATTGGTAAGAAGACATCTTAGTGATTGTTTTTAAATGTATCCAATTGATATATTACTATAATAATCTGTTCTTTCTTATTATACAAGTTACATTGTTCTTAGCTATGGGGCAACTAGTGTACTGAAGTATTAAAGAGTCTTATGATTGAGAGTAATAACCTACTTATACCTTATATCTCTATAGATATTTATAGGAACATAGATTAGGTGAGAGACAAGTCTACAAGAAAAGTAGACCTGGGAGGTATGGTTGGTAAATCAGAAGGTATTAGTGGATCACCATCTTGTTTGTTTCTGAGTCCAATGGACTTTATTCTATGTTGTCATGCTGTCATATACCTTATGATTCATTAATATTTAGAGCTTGAATGAAAACTCTCTTCCTAAAAGTAAAATGATTTTTTACTCTATTTTTTACTTATTAAAATTTTATTGGTGTGAGAACATAACATGAGATCTACCCTCTTAACAAATTTTAGATTTTAAAATCTTACTCATCTTGATATGTAAAACTATGTACTTATTGACAGTAACCCCACATTCCCCTTTTCTCTCACCCCCAGCAACCACAATTCTACTCTCAGCTTGTGGGACCTTGACTACTTCAGATTTCTCATATAAATGGGGTTTATTTCTCATACTTGGTCTTCTGTGACTGCCTTATTTCACTTAGCCTGTCCTCAAGGCCTGTCTATATTGTTGCTTATTGCAGAGTTCCTTCTTTTTTAAGGCTGACTAATATTCCAACTTAAAGGATTTCTACCTCAAAGAAATTTCAACTGCACAACAATTAGCAGGAACAAGAAGAATTCCATGTACACTGCATTGACCTGTGATGGGCATTTGAATTATTCATGGTAGCTCCTGAATCGCAGGGAACTTTCCAGACTCTATTGGACATAGAGATTAAATTTATCTCTATCCAGGGAAGCAGATATCTTGCACACTAGCAAAACAAAATGTGTCATATCTATCCAAGGATTACTAATAATTTCAGAGAGAAGAAAATGCTATTATATTCAATGTAGATATTGAAAAAGATATGTATCTCCAATGTAGGAAAAAGTGACTTCAAATCAGCTAAATGTTGTTTCTTGATATTTCAGTGATTTCCTGTTTCTTCCCCCTAATTCTAAGGGATTGATCCTTTAAATAAGATATATCTCAATATTAGAGGAGTTTTATTTCACACATGGGGCAATAAAGGAAAAGGCACTGAGGCTGATGTCCCCGGAGATAACAAATGGAGGCAGAAGGTTGACTGTGGGCAGGGTGAGGCTAGCGGGGGAAGACATTGGCCATGGACAGGGATTGTATGGAAGCAAGATTTTGGAAAGTTTTAAAGCTAGTGAGAGCAAATCCTATTGTCTATGACAGACAAAACACTCAGTTGATTATAAAGAGAGTAAAACTGTCAAAGTGATGCCAAAAAGGGGGGAAACATTTTTAAATTAATAATCTAGCTAATTTTGAAATAGAGAACAAAATATTTTTATCCCTCTCTACTGTCAGCCTTCTATGCATGTGAAAATATATTTATTATTTTCTAAATTAATTTAATGAGTCCCAGATTGCACAGGATGTCCTAATGGAAACAGGATTATCCAAGATAATAAGGAGGTTTTTTCTTCTCTAAATGAGTTTTACCTTCACTCCTTATGTCTTACTTTTGATCTTAACTGTGTTTCATTAACCATATTGAAGGAGGTTACATAAAGGGTAAAATAATAGAAACTTAACCAGGAAACAGGATTTCTTATTGTTGCATTTTATTATATACTCTTGCCATATTCTTTAGCCTAATTCTAGAAAATATTAAAAGACATGTCATTTTAAAATAAAGACAATTGAAACCACATTGCATTAGAACTATGCATCTTTCTTCTGAGCCATTCCAAACATTTCACACCAACTGATCTTTAGAACAAACTTGTGGGTTATTTAGGGGTTATTGGCAGGGAGTATAAACTTCCTGAACTCTGCCTTTTGTAAAATATTAGATAAATATTGCTTGGTGAATTTAATCTTACAGGTAAAAAAAACAAATACCAACAGGCAAAATCTTGATTTCAAAGCCCTGTGGAATAATTTTTCTGCTGGAAAATAGTACAATATGAACTGGCCCCCTTAATCAGAGCATGGGTTTTACAGTGAAAATAATTTCTTGAAGAGTATTATCATGGCATATAAAAATGTATAGTTATACAGCACACATGACTGACTTTGTTACTGTAATGCTATTTTGTGGAAAACAAATATCTGTACATGCCTGATATAATCCATACAAAATAATGTCTATTTTGATAAGCACTTGGGTTCTGAAATCTTACATCCTTGACATTTCTGCCATCCTCAATCAATTTGGAAAAGACTTCCAACTTGGCAATAAATTTATCTCCTGAGTTTCCAAATAAATACTTTAGAAAGTTGGGTTTATTTCTCTAACATATTCTCATTTCATTTTCCTTTTCACTGAACAGATAATCACCATGGCCACAGCCTTGAAGAAAGAATCATCTACGGAGTAGAAAATAGTAGCACATTCCTGGAATGCAGTCCAAAATCACAGCGAGCTCTGGTCTACTGGCAATTCCAGAGACGAAATGAAGAGCGCAAAGAAGAGGTATAGGAACAAAATTAACTGGATTATTTCTCTCTAATGCATACTAAGTGACCCTGGATTATTTCTCTCTAATGTATCCTAAGTGACCCTAGCATGGTTGACTTGAGGGGGAAAAAATTTCTGTGAAACTTTATCTTTTTCTTAACCCAATTATAGCTCATTCATTAAACAAATATTCATTGAAGCTGATTATATGGCAGGCTATGTGCTAGGAGTTGGAAAAACAAAGGTAAGTTTTGTCCAAGAAGCCATTTTGTGATATAGAGTCTGGCAGAAGTAGCGCGTGCTCGAGTGTGGGTGGTAGAGTAGTAATATGGGTGTAATAACTTATAGTTTTAATTTGAACATTTCACCTAAAATGCCATATGGTACGCTTGAGTGTGATATTGTTATGTTACAGAATTAAATGCTTATTTTTTTATAAGAAAAGATTTCATAATAAAAGCAGGGCATTATTTGTTACAGGTCCTGTATTTTAGAATCTCCTTTCTTCTTTCTGTAATAATCTACCAGGCATTATATTAATTATGCTGATGTACAAAAAAAAATCATCCTACTCATTTTAACTTTTGTCCAATTAATTCGGCTATCCAAATATGTATGTCTTCCTCTGTTAACTTTCAACTCAAATTGGAAAGGGAATTTTGGGAAAGGAAGTAGTAGATTCAAGATGAAGTATCTAAGGTCCCAGTATGAACTCTAATATAAAATTTGCATATAACCTTAGAGCTTTCTCCTCAATGAATGTATTTATTCCTCTGTGAAATTAAAGAATCATGCAGAGAAAGTCTCAGCAAGAACTCAAAGCTTTTGAAAAGCATTATATAAGAGCAACCAGACTATGTGATATTTAAATGTATTTTATGCAGATAGTTTTACAAACATAATCTGAATATAAAGGTAAAAATTCTCCCATTATCTTTTTTTTGGCATCTGAAGACATCTTTTATATGTAATCATATCACACAAATGCCAAGGTTGATTATATACATTACCAGCCTAGCCTTTCAGAGATCTCTGTTATAAACAATATTAAAAATGAAAGTTAGATTAGATATATTCAAGAACATATCTGCATTTTTATGTCACATCTAAGACGCAGGAAGTTAAATAAATAATTATTAAGCATGCAATCCCATGCTCTTTTCTGCTTGTTCAACTGGTTATTTTTTATTTTTTTTCATATTTTATGTGTTTCTTCTAATGCTGCATTGTTTTCTAGTATGATGGTTCTGTATTTCCAGTTCTAATATTTAATGTTAACTTTCTCTTATATTTATTTGCCTTCTTTCAAATACACAAAATAAAGTATATCTTTGTTCTTTCCTCCTATCATCTTGAATATTTTAAATTATTATAATGAGAAAATTTATTAAAACAATAGGCAACCAATATTTTGCAAAGCATCTTAAAAACAATTGACAAATTTATAACTCTTTTTCTGATAGCAAAATGCTATATCTCTTAAGCTAGAAATGTTATTGGCTGTTCAAATGTGCTTCAACACATAATCTAAATTTTTACTGCGACCGATTTTCAGAACTTTATTTCTTTTAAATATGTATATTTTTACTGCCCTGTTTTCTTCTGCTAGATCAGAGTGGATGACCATATCATCAGGACAGAACAAGGCCTTCTACTGCGTAGTCTACAGCGGAAGGATTCAGGCAATTACCTGTGTCATGCCGTGGAACATGGATTCATGCAAACTCTTCTTAAAGTGACCCTGGAAGTCATTGACACAGAGCACTTGGAGGAACTTCTTCATAAAGATGATGATGGAGATGGCTCTAAGACCAAAGAAATGTCCAACAGCATGACACCTAGCCAGAAGGTCTGGTACAGAGACTTCATGCAGCTCATTAACCACCCCAACCTGAACACAATGGATGAGTTCTGTGAACAGGTTTGGAAAAGGGACAGGAAACAACGTCGGCAAAGGCCAGGACATACCCAAGGGAATAGTAACAAATGGAAGCACTTGCAGGAAAATAAGAAAGGGAGAAACAGGAGGACCCACGAATTTGAGAGGGCACCTAGGAGTGTCTGAGCTGCATTACCTCTAGAAACCTCAAACAAGTAGAAACTCGCCTAAGACAGTAACTGGAAAAAATGCAATATACATGAACTTTTTTCATGGCATTATGTGGATGTTTACAACGGTGGGAAATGCAACTGAGTTCCACCAATTATAAATTAGGTCCATGAGTAACTTTCTAACAGGCTTTCTTTCTAATACCAACATGTAATAGAGGTCAGGTGAACGCAGATGTTCGCTCCAGCAGACTTAATGTTTCCTATGGGATTTCACTGTAAAGGTTTCGCTTTCTTCTTTGCCTGAGAAATAAAAATGTCATTTGCCATATTGCCATCTAAAGAAGAAAAAATGCATCAGCAAAGCCATTTTATTGAACTAAAACTTTAAAATAAACTGCATGGATTTACTGAGCTGATGAATATTCCAAAATGTGGTTGGATCCAAGGATATTTTTCTGTCTACCAGCACTCATGTTTATATGTACTGGAGGAGTAAAATGATACTAAATGAAATGGTCTATAGAAATATGAAAAACATAAACCATCCATCATCCAGAAAAGAAAAATGGAATTCACTGATCTACTACTGATGTCTTCTTTCAGCTTTGATCTAAAGATGTATTTTATTAAAACTATAATTTAAATGTACCATGAAAAATATGCAGTAAAATCTAGCTCTTTTCTAAGCTAGGGTAGGTTTTTGTCTTACAATTATTGTGCTATATCATTTTTGTTTTAAAAATTCCAATTATGTGCTGCTTTTTTTCCCCCAACATTTTATTTTCAGTTGTGCAAGAGGGATAACCAATACTGTTTTAGAAATATATATACACATCATTGCAGTTAATTCCTAAAGCCTGGATATAAATTATGTTTTAGTACTCTGAGGGTTTCAAACAAAAAACACCATCCCTTCTTTAAACATTGTGTAAATTAATTTTAACATACATAATGTTCTTAGAAAAACAGAGCATTTAACGCCCAAAAAGGAAAGAAACAAATTGACATGTTAAATGCATTTTGTTGTATCTAATGAATCAATGAGGAGAAAAGGAACTGCATATTTTATGAAATGAATAAGCACTATCTTAATGTAATATTAATAGAAAATGTCTCTTAATTCTGTGTTTGAATCCCTGCATGATATTTGAGACATAAAAACTCTCTCTTATTATTTCATTAGGAAATACCTCTGTGTCACCTAATTTTTTTAAAAAGAGAGATCAGTAATATTCAGAACAACACCTTAAAAACAAATTTCTCAGCTCTGTTTATATCTGTAATAACTGTCTTTTATCTCACATTAAGACAATTATCTGTCTAAAGAACATTAATTCTTTTCATGTCAGTAGGAGTAACTTTTATACAAACTATTTCCAGGACACAATCCACACTTTAAACATGTAAAACTCTTTGTCTCCTGAAACAACTTATTAAATAAGGTGAAAGATTGTGAATTAAGGGCTTGCCTGCTTTATTGTCCTAAGGTGATTTCTTGAGGATCTTTGATGTCAAGGTGTATAAAACCATCAGCATTACGATGGCCTCTTTTGCACTGCGTTCTCCTTGCCAGGAATCCCTCCCTCGGTCCTTCATCATGACAAAAATGCAAAAGAAACATCCTATTGCTACTTAATGAAAGCAGCATTGAAATTTTACTCTGTCTTGGGGTTCTAATTAACTCCAAACTAATTTCTCACCTCAGACTACAGTGAATTTTCTAAAATTTCACTATCAACTGAAAAATTTCACAGATGGAAGCTCAATTTACAGTTTTAATGATCACCTTGAATAAACAATGTGTTCACACTTGTTTCAAATGAAAGCCTAAAAATATTCTACATTCAATTTTAAGCTCCATTGATTAATACAGTATTACTTTTAAAAGTACATCTTCAAATGCTAACTGATTTTTAAATCACTTGAAGAACACGTTCAAAGAACACAGAATGGTCCAAAAATAGGTCATTCTTTTATTTTTTATAGTGTACCAAAATTCGGCGTTGCATTTTATTCTATATTTGCAACTGAAACAAATTTATTTGCAATAATAGAAGTATTTTATTTCTTATTATTCTTCAAAAATAAAGGATTTGAGAATAGAGATTATATAACTTCAGGATATCTTCCAATATCTGAGTGCATTTTGTTTAGCATTACAAAATACCCATAGAAAGGAAGACTAGACATCAGTTAAAAGAAACAAAAAGCTAACAAATCTATTGGCATGTCTTTATATGCCATCAGGTCTAAGTTTTCAATGACAATTATAGCTATAACTTGTGGGTAAATAATTCTTATTACAGTCATAATCTTCTGCCAATGCGTATTGAGATGGGACAGGTTGCACGAAAAATAATGTCCCATTTAATTTTTAATGGACTTTGACATATGCATGGATCATCAGAGTTGAAACTATGTTAAGAAATTTGTGGGTCCTTAAGCAAATTATGACAGCAATCTTACAGTAGGGGAAAGGTACATTGCAGCAGAGAAATTATGGCCCAGTTGAAATCAAATGTAAAATGTAAATGCATGTAAATGCACACTTAATACTACTTTTTATGTATTATTTAGTGATTTTTCAATGGTATGTGTTTAATATTTTTGCTACCTACACATTAGACAAAGAGATGTAAATAATTTTGAAAAGAAGAAGAGTGTAAAATGCAACTTTTTATAGGTACTCCATTTCATTGTGTTCAACATCATCCTAAAATGCCAGATTTCCCACACAGGTGACAAGGTGGTTGATGTGCTATTTAAGGGCAGAAGGTGTGTGCCCATTCGAAAAGCATGTTTTTTCCAGGTAGTAAATATGTTCCATATCTGTATTTATCATTGCATTTCAGATGGGAACTACAAAACTGGAGAGAAAATGTAATGAAACTGCTGCTGTACATTATTCCTTTTAGCATGTATTCAGTTGCTAAATACACATTTCTTCAAAACATTTGAATTCAGATGTCTTTACTGTCCCCTCTAGCATATGGTGTCAAGAAACATAAGCTTAGGAAATGCTGAGAACCAATCGGGTTGCTACATGGTCAGCTATCAGGTTTCTCACTGTCATCATCTGTGCAGGGTTCTATATTTATGGTGATGATGTAAATGTTCATGCCCTTCAAATTAAATGTTGTTTTTATGCCATACCTAAAAAGGAAATATCGGGATGAAAGTCTATAATGTGTCCTTATGATAATCAGTTTGGTTTCATTCAGGGTCTACAAAGGTGCCTGGTAATTTGTCGTTGAAATTGCGTATCTTAAAGATCATAAGCAAGCATTAATATGAAGTGAATAGTATAACATTTTGAAATCTTTCTTCTATGAATTCATTTTTTTACACACAATTTGCTTTCACTTTAATGGAAATCTATCAAGTTTCATTGCTTCAAAGTTACTATTAAATCATCTTATTGGACTGTAAGTTGTTAACTATAAATTGGCCTAATACCAGAGTCAGCCATCTTTTCTATTTTGACTTTGTATTAATTATTTAAAGTCATTTATATTTACAAAACGCATGTTTCTAGGAAGAAGAAAGCATTATGTTTCAAAAAGTCTTCAAAATCTTACTAGTTTATTTTATTTCTAAAAATTTTCCTATACTAGTTCTTTAAAGAAACATGTTTTTAAGTTAATATATTAAGAAGAGCTATAAATGAGAGGGAGAACAAAGCCACAGAAATCATGCTTCATGTAGTAGGACCATTTTTAAAGTCAACCTGACTAAATAAAAAAGCGTGGCTTTAATTTCAAACATGCAAACACACACAGGCAGAAGCAGTTAGCAAATGAAAGCAAACCAAAGATGATTTTGCATATAAAGAAATAGGGCTTCTGGACACTTGGCGCTTTAAGTCAGGTTCCCATCTACTTGACTAAATCCCACTTATAGATCTTGTCTATCGACTATATACTAGGCACTGGTTAGTGATGAGGATACTAAGATGACTGGGATTTACCTTTTGTCCTCAAAGAGCTCACGATAAACTAAAGGAAAAAGATAGGAATATGATTTACTATCATCTTATCTGGCAATTATCTTCTGAATCTCCCGATTCTGAAGCTAGCCACCTTCTCTTATATATATTTTTATTGTCACACTTAATACAAAGGTGTTAATTTTTCTATATACACCACTGTCTTATCTTCTAGTATGGGAGCTCTTTGAGGGCAGGAGCTTACCTCCAACTCCAGTGCCTAGCATGATTTCTGGCTCAGGGCAGGAGCTCAATGAATCGTTGTTGGGAGGAACCAGGTTGTAATGTGGTAAGCTCCAAATGCCAACTCACAGTAAAACTGCGACAGTATCAAAGAGGAAGGAGGAATTAGTTTTGCCAGAGAGATGGAAACCTTCAAGAAAAGAAAGAACATGCAAGCTATAAACCAAAACAGAAGATATGTCCAAATGATGTTAGAGAGCTATGAATAGAAGAAATGAGAGTGGACGAGAGGTATGAAAAACGGTTTTATTTGGGGAACAAATACTTTGAATGGATGGAGCACATGGTCATAAAGAAAAGTAAAATGTCCCACTGCTATGAGTCAAAATGGTTCATTTGTTTGGTTTTCCTTAGATTTTGGTGTATTGCCCTCTATTCGTACCACACATTCTCATCACTGGCACATGATGTGATTCACTCTGCTTCCTTCCACCCCACTCTCACATTACTTTCCTTCCCTACCTTCCCTCTATAACGTTGATCTCTTTTACACTGACAGCTGAAATCGCCTCTGGACAGTATTCCCACAACCATCTTCACACTAATCTGTATACCATAATTTAACTTCCTCTCTAGGTGAACTGTCCACGCTTCAGCTAGAATTGGGGATTCCACAGATGAATGGCTGGGAGAAGACAGCTTCTTCAGGTTAACCTCTCTGTGCTCTAACAGTTCAACAGATAATTTCTCCTATATTTCACCTTCCTTCAGTACTACCTCACTTACCTATTATTAGATTGCTCAGGCACAGGTTCCAGCATTGCCTTGCTAATTTGTAAATAGTG